GTAATGGTTCACCCACTCCGGAGTCCCTCCTCCCTCCAAGGCTTAGTCCTAGGCTCTCACCTTCCTGCTTGGGATTTGGAGCCGAGCCAGGCGCCGTTCTCTAATCGTCTGCTCTGGCCTTTCGCGGCAGAGAACATAGGGGAGAGTTCAAGTAGTCACATTATCTCAAATTATTGTTAGACAGAAACTGCACTTCCAGTTTGGCACAGCACGCGCTGCTACTCGTCTGCTGACTCCGCCTTCCTGCCGCGCGACGGCCCTCCTGTCGGGGTACCCGCTCTTTTGAAATAAGTCCATTTGCAGACGGAAAGCGCCGAAATGTTGGAACCAATGCGTCACTCAGGAAACGGGCCAAACAACATGCACCAAAGGAAACAGAAGATCCTAGAGAGTATCACCCGACACATGAACGAGATCCATCCGCCACGAGTGATTCCTTTCACAAATCGTCGTGATGACGTCATCAGCAGCATGTTGATTCCGCCACGCGCAGAGGTGAAAATTGCTCGAATCGAACCATCGAAAACCGTCAGGGAAGCGTCAAGTTTGGAAATCGCAGACGAGATCATCGACAATGTCATCAGTGAAACTTCAGTCACAACTAATAGCTCAGACTTACTACAGTCTCTGAACGCCACGGACACGGCCTTGAATCAGACCACTATTTTGAATTCAACTTTCACCGGATTTGAGGTGTCTTCTGATCAGCACGGGAATGACACCAACTCTCCGCTGGTGGAATTGAGCAATATCGATAAGTCATTGGAAGCGATTGTGAGTTATTGATTTTTGTATTTCTATGTTTACGAAAAGTTTGAACCTTTGACGGGGCATCCAATACGTATTTTGAAATTTGTGGCATTAGAGATAAAAACGACCAAAATTGTACAGAATTCATGCGCTTTAGTTGATCATTGGTATTGTCGAATCACAGTGTAGTACTATCTTCGAGATTCCTATATCGAAAAACTATTTTGTAAACAAAAAATTGGACGCGAACTTCATACTCATGTCAGATCCAGCTCTTAAAACGTCATATACTTGCTGCTTGCTCTGGAATCCATCCAGAATTGTACACCCTATGCTCAATGAAGGCTTTCGTGAGTAAGAGCAGCGTTCACGACAATGCGGGTATTCCTGGGGAGGAGGGAAGGGGAAGATGCCTAATAATAAGGATAGAGATCGCTGGGATGTTTTCGAAGCAAATTGATCAATTTTTTGTCGACTTTGAATATTTGGACGCATGCCCGCCTACTGAGGGCGGAGTTTCCCATGGCCAATACAGTTCCCTTATAGGAAGGCCTATACCCTACCTAAGCCCTATTTTCCTGGTCTTTGGGATGTTCATGAAGCGAAAACATCAATTTTTACCGAAATTTTTTCATTTCGACGCACGCCCCGCCCACTGGAGGCGGAGTTTAGCATGGCCAATATATTCCCCTTAGAGAGCGACTCATACTCTACCCATTCCAAACTTGACCCGCCCTCCCTAGGTGATTTTTGAAGGAAGAATTATAAACATGTGGGGGACACTTGTGAATTTTTGGGGAGCGGTCAGACAAACAAACTCTGGTTTATATATAGTATGATAGTTACTAAAAATTGCCTTCAGCCTTACATTTCTTGCAAAACGATCCAATAATATCACATAATCGCAGAATGTATGTAAATATTAATCACTTATGTAGAAGCCGATACCGACTGATTTGGATTTTAGAGATTGAAAGTGAATCAAATAGGTGCGCATGTCGTGATGAAGAGGAACCATCAATCCTTTGTTCAAAACCCAAAAATGGAACCCTCATTCTGCCTGGCTTTATACGAATTAGCGCTTCAGATACTGAACGCATGGGTAAATAATCCCCAACAGACAGGGACGAAGAGATCAGGTGGTGCGGCTGTTTGGAATGAAGAGCTTTGTGAAATGAAAATTGAGGGACAACGATAGCGATTTCGCTAAAGTCAACAGCCACTTAGGCTTGGTGTCAGAATTCGCTATAATTCGAGGCGTACGGCAATGCGCCAGCGTTGCAACCACCTAGAGCAAAAGCGAATTGGTTGTTGGTTCGCTGTCGCGTCGCTTCTGACACGTGAAGCCAGTGAAATAAGCGCTTAAACGAAATGAAGATCTAAGAATTCGGAAAATAACATTCATCTAATCTCACAATGTAGTGGATTAGATTGAGTACGTGGCGCATTCTGGGGTATGTTTTAAGACCCTTCTTTCTGTGTAGCGGTCAGCTCGCATAAGCGGGATTATATGATACACACCACATGCGAGCAACTACTTTTTGAGATGAAAAATTGAGTGCATGGCGCAATCCAGTGTAGTGCCGCTAGAAAACTTTAGGACGATTCTTATACATAGATAGATCTTATAGATCTTCTTATGGATAGAGAGAGATTATAGACGAGCTGAGTTCAATGCTGTTTTCAGATTTTGAAAATCTTAATTTTAAACCGAGTTATAACGAAAAAACGAAAAAAAACGCGAAATCGCGTTTTTCGCGTGGTTTTTGCAGTTTTTACGGCGAGTACCGTATTCTTCGCGAAAACCTCACACGCCCTTTCTCGCAGCGTGATTACCGCCCTTACTGAAGTATGAACTTTCCTTGTGCGAACAATCTTTGCAGCCACTTCCTTTTAAGGCATCACTTTCTAACTCACAAATTCTTCTATGATGCCTTCGACGGGAAGTACCTTAAAGTCAAAAGGAAGAGTGAATTGTAATGATGATGTAATTGCAGAGCTCGGAAATCCAGGACTACGGTGCAGATGAAGAGTGGGAGGCATTCAGTAATCCTGACGGTCAAAAAAAGAAGCCGGTCGTAGTTCCAGAGCAAGCTGGAATCTTGCCCACGTCCATATCCATGCCAACTCCTACAACGCTCTCTCCAGAAATCGATGCAATACCCATTGAGGCGATGACCTCTTCAGGAGAAGATGAGAAGGCTACGACGATGACAATGCAAAAATCATCTCCTACAGTGATAGAAGAAAATCTGGTTGAATCGTTGTCAGATGTGTCATTTGGTTCAGGAAGAAGGGCAGGTACAAGAGCAGACGACAACAATCGCAACCACCACAACAGCCGCAGCCAACTTCAACGAAGATTTCAAGACAGCTGTAAAAGAACAGCAGGAAGAGATACTCAGATCAAGGAAGAAAAAACAGCAGAGAGGAAGAAGAAAGGAAAAGAGGCTAGGTGAAGCCACGGAAGAAAGGAAAAGAGCGAGGAAAGTGGCGATATCGAGAAACCAGCTCCTAGACCCAAGCACAAGATTACTGAGCTCAACTCTGACACCATAAAATCAATAGAAAGAGAAATGAAGAAGAAGGAAACGAAATGGCGAAAAGACTAAAGCCGGCGGAAAAGACAAAGCCGAAGAAGTGGATAAAGAGGAGGAAGAAGAGACTGAAAAAGTGAGCAGGTCGTCTTTGGGAACGTCAGAAGAAAGGCTTATCTCTAGAGGATAACAGCAAGAAAAAACTTGGTGAGAAGAAAGAGGAGAGAAAGAAAAAGAAGACGAAGACGGTTGAGAGGACAAGCACTGCTGGCGAAGGTGACATTCAGGGTATTTAGCGAGGCCTTCAAGCAAAATCTCCGACAGACAATCGAATCAATTTCAAAGGAGTCCACAGAGGAGAAAAGAAGTAAAGAGAAGGGCTCAGCAGAAGGTTCAGAAGATAGTGATGATACAGGGAAAGGTCCAAAAAAGCAATCCCATAAGTGTCGATGAAGGCAAGGTTGAGGATCAGGTTGAGAACGAACCATCTGGTGCTGGAGGGCAAATCGATGACGGTTCTGATGAATTATCCACAGCAATACCAGACTACTCGGTAGAAACCAGTGGCCGACAACTAGTGTTACGACGATCAAAAGCAAGAAAAGGCTGCAAATAACGAAGAAGGTACCTGTAGAAAGGCAATGGAAAAAGAAGCAGGAGGAAGATGAAAATGAAAACGTGATCAGTGACGAAGTGGAGGAACCGGTGGAAGGTGACGACGACCGAACCTGAAGATAGCAGTAGCGATGAGGAGGAAAAGGAAAGAGAGATTGAAAAGGTAGGAAATGTTAATTTACGAAAAAGATTCTTCATTAAGAAAATGTTTTCAGAAAAAGTTGGAGAAAAAGCGTAGAAAGAAGGGGAAACGAACGGAAACTGAGGATGAAATAGAAGAAGGCAGCAGCACTCCAAAAGCACCCACACCACCTATAAGAATAGGAGGATATGATGCCAATGTGAGTTATTAGTTAGCTTCAGCTTGATTGAAAATGGCCAACTGCGGCACTTTGGTGAAAATTGCGATCATGAAAGCTGTCGATTTTTCCCTCTGCACGGTTCAACTCAAAAAAATCTGAGTGATTAGGATGCAGACAAAAGTTTACGCAGTTGGGAGGATTGACTGCTAGCTCGGATTTCAAGACTACCACGAACGTTGAAAATCACAGTTCCAAGTTCTCTAACATGTATTGAGGGCGGAAGTGGTGTAGTGGCAAGTGGCACGCTTACCACGCGAGCGGTCCGGGATCAAATCCTGGGTCGTGAGTCGCCCGGGCCAACCAAGCCTTCCATCCCTCCGGGGTCGGTTAATTGGTACCAGACTTGTCTGGGAGGATAAAAACACTGACTTGTACATCGGCTGGCCCCCGCAAGTCATTGTATAGGCCACATCGCATTCAAACGCCACTACGAATGTACAAATGGAAGTAGAATGCGTGCCGCATCCCAAAAAGGGATTGATCAAGCTTTATCCGTTGTCCTTTAATATGTATATGGGAGCAGAGAAGGGGACGGTGTGACGCGAGGATCGCATCTGGTCGCCCTCTACTCCCGAAAAACAATTCAAAAAGCTCCCGAGCCCCTTCAGGATGCGATATGCAATCGACAAAAAACCAAAGACATTCGACGTTTTTAATACTTCTTAAAACGTTCCATCGAACCTCTAGGTTGCGTTATTACCTTACCTTCCAGGAGCAGTGCTCGTATGACGACTTCAACGAAACGCAAAAAAGGGCTGAGCTGAAGCTGCCCTTTTGATGAAGCGGTCTAAAACCACTGACGCCCAAGCTCCGCTAGAAATTATTCGCGCATTCTAATGTCTATACTGCTAGCACAGTTAGCCATGAAGACCAGTCGCTAGGAAGCTACCTCTAACCCCCAATCGGATGGGATAATTGAGGGCCCTCATTATGGAATAAGGAGTAAGACAACCGAGTCAACCCTGGATCGAACCACGAGGTCCCCTAATTTATTTGAGAAGAACAGGTCAACAATACCAAAACAGAAACAAACAAAAGGCTCAAAAAAAGGCTGCACAAAGCAGCTGAATAACATAGGATTGCATGCCGTTCTCCGCAACCCTACTTTACCCGAAGCTGCTTGGAGAACTGAACGACCATGCGCAGAGGAGGCCGCTGCTACGCAGTTTTGCCACGTTAACGCTCTAGTGAGAAGTCATCCGCAGTACCTAGTAATAGCGGGTCAACATTAAGCGTCGCGTCTCCTCATCCCTGACCCTATTTTCTCTGACTATTTACTGCGAGCAGCGGCGCACACTGGAGCAACTCGATTGGACCGTGGTTTGGCATGCTGCCACCAAACGCATTGCGGTGAACTCGTTCATACGTCCGATTTCTGAGCTGTTACCTGTTCATGAGTGAAAAGAACGGCCAAAAAAGGGGGTCCGTTTTGCGTTTTCTTGACGGATTTCTCAGCTTTTCGCCACTGCGTGCCATTGAGCACCACGGCTCACGCCTCGCTTTGAACCCTTATCGAATCTTCGTAATGCTGCCTTTATCTTAGTTTTGATAATTAATTGTTGCCATGAGTTGACGTGCAATTAGTGAGTCGGGCAAGGCGCTTTAGACCTGTTAGAACCATCGACTTTTACTGACTGCTCGACGGCAGCGTCAACTCTGAGCAAAGGGAGGTTTACTGCAGTCCCATCCGAATTGAGATGCGATGTCTATGCAAAAAAAAGCTCATGAGAGAAGGACAGCTCAGTCGGGCAGCTCAGCATACCTCGAGCTGCTAGTTTGACTACTGTATTGATGTATAGTTAATGAGTAGTTTATTAAATTCATTTCATTACTGCAACCTCATGGACCATAAAATGCAACTGCAAACACATGGTGTTTCAGATTCGTACTGATGATATCAAAGCGAGTTTGAAAGACGCTCCGAATGCCAAGTACTACTACCCGCCCAAAGTTATGGTCCGCTAAGATCCCCGTCATGCTTCACAATCCATCACGGTACAGTGAGTTTGAGACATTTCACCTAAGTTTCAGTTAGGCACATGCCGCGATGTGTATGCAAGTACTTTTGGCGAAATGTGGTGCTTACACAACTAAAGTGGCGCTGGCTCGCTGCAGCAGGTCTTGCGAAAGGCCGCTCAGCGCTCCCGAAAAGTGATCCGCCAAGTCACTTGTTGACTTTGGACGGCTGCGTGGCTAGCAGCGGCGGGAATGGACCATCCTCGACTACAAGCCTGATTTGGCATGGTGTCATCAAACGCGTTGCGGTGAGCTCGTCCATACTCTCGCTTTCTGAGCTGTTACCTGTTGATGAGTGAAAACCAACGGCCAAAAAGGGGGTCCCGTTTTGCGTTTTCTCGACGGATTTTTTCCCGGCTTTTTTCGCCACTGGCGTATACTGACACCACACCGTTTAAATAGGCCCTTGTAATTGCTGCCTTTGACCTACAAATCGACCACGAGCTTCGAAAACGACGCTAGTTCTGGGAGTTCTCACATTGACCGAACAGTTTTGCAAGGCTACATAGCATTTGAAAGTAAGGCATCCTCCACCTTTTATCAGCCAAGAAATAGAAATCCCATTAAAGGGCTACTGCATACTCATTTCCTTCTTCCCTTTATTTCCATTTTCTTTTTCCCCCAAAGATCAATTGATAGCTTTGATACCTTTGGAAAAGGAACAAAATTGTTTTTTTTTGCCATCGGTACCCATAAGCTATACGGTCTCGCAAGGGTGTGACAGTGTCTAATCGGGCTGCACCGAACGCGCTACAGTAGGCCGAGTGTTGGGAATTTGAGCTACGCCGCATTGTATCTGGAATCTCATAACTGGTTCCCTTCATAGGAAACTCCCTGGAGCGCGGATATGCTCGGTAGGTCCCTTGAACAGGGACGGGTCATGAGATCCAGATACAGAACAGAAGCTAAGCTTAGTCGCATTATTGGTTGGTGAGTACGGATGCATAAGAGAGAAGGTTCTGATGGAAAGGCTGGAACCGTCGCTGAAAATTCAGACATCAGCTTTTGAAGGGAAAGTCCGGAATCAAACTGATGTGTTGTGAGGTGGGAATGTAACGTGTAATGTCGTAATGAAGAATTGGGGAGAAAACCGTCAACAAGGACGAAAATAAAGTCCTCCTATACCGTAGCGGCGGCGCAGTAGCAGTGATCCGTGGGTGGAGTCAATGGTGTTGGGCGGGCCAATGCAACACCTTAGGGCCTTAGCGCCTTCGGCCTTATCAAATCATCCTGATAATTGTGTGCATGATCCCCGCTTGCATTGCGCTGCATTTTTCTCGAGTTAAGGCTGATTTCCAGAATCCCCGGAAGTGAAACCACAATTGGATGTAGTAAATTTCGTTGTAAATATATGTATGTTAGTTACATTGAAAATATTTAGCGATTACTTCAGGATACGTCTGCTGCAATCTGCAACTGAACAATCTTATTGAGGATACGTTCGAAACGGTAAAGAACGTGCAAGGCTACAGCGCATGTAATATCGCACGAATGGCCAACATCATTCAGGTACTCCAAAGACTGAGATTACGGTAACTCGAATAGATAAGTAGCTCAACGAAAACTTGTGCTAAGTGGTTATAGGGCGGAGTTGATGCAGTGGCATATAGCGCCGCTTCCC